ATGTTCTACTTGAAACCAAATTGCACGAAATTGTCGATGGATTTTCAGCAACCTTATGAGTAGTACATTACAAAGATTATTAGTAATCTTCAAGTTGCTCGGTAACGACACCTACCTGAGACCACCACCACTGGAGACGCAACACTAGGTGTTCGTTGATAATGCACCGAGAGACGTTTCTTTGGAGGCGGGCGAATCGTCCCGTGTTGTTTGCGGTACTTGATTGACCCCATTGGACTTGTCGGGCTGGTGGTTTGATTTGGAATCTCCTGTGTATGGGGTGTTTTTGGGTCGCTGTGCGGTTTGATTTCGGACTGTTGCTTCTGTTGTTGGCAGGTTAGGGGATCTGCACTGCGGCTGAGTGATGAACGAGGAGCAGTCGTGGGGGATTCGTTTGGCCACCTTGGCCTGGAAGCATTGAAAGGACCGGTAGAAAATGCCACAAGGTTCGACGGATCACTGTCGACAGTCTTTCCCATGCCGTTATTGCATCCGCTCTGAGAGCAACTCCGAGAAAACGTGATGGGTGCGTGGACGTTTTGCTGCTGTCCTTGTGTGATGCTCGAAAGAACGGAAGAGGGTGCATCATCTAGAAGGGCGAATGACAGAAAGCAGAGACAAGGTGACATTGAATACGGATAAGGCAAAAAGCAAAAAACACTCAGAGCAGTGAAATCATTGACCATATCCATAAACAGCTAGGTTTCCATGGAAACAGGTGATATTACGGCGATTTCCCTAAATGAGAATCCCCCGTTTAAAAAAACCTCTCACCTGTAGTACTCTTTCGGTGCCTAGTTGCCATGCTACCCGAAGGAAGCACGATGACTGGAATACTGTCAGGCTGCCCAAGCCTAGACAGGGGAAGTCGAGAGGCAAAGGTTGGGTTCGAACCATAGACCTTCCGGTCAGTAAATTCGCGGTCGAACCACTTGGGCCATCTCGCCCACCCCCTCCCTAAGAGAGGACAACTTCTCTCTCTAGTCTACCCACATTCAACACGTTCCGTTTTGTATCCATACAGCGGGTCCTTCCTAGAAGGTGAGTAGAACTCACACTTTTGGCGAAATCAAAGAAATTTATGGAGCCGGCTCCTGTTCTTGTATGAGTAAAGGAAGAGACCAAATCCCCCGTCCATCGTGGATCTGGATGTATATGTTCTTTCCATGCGATTCTATCGTTTAATGAACAAGTCTCGGCGAGACCTCATATCCATGATCTTCATGGCTTCCGAATACTGCTCAGTAACGCCGACCAGATGGCAGAATGTCTCAGTACGAGACATTCATCAGGAAACCCGGAACATCTCAAAGTATATGGCGTCAATATTTCAGGAGTTTTTTTAAATATTCTTCCAAGTACCGAATGGCAGTCGATATACTTGCCCTACGAAACACTATTAAGCAAGAGGATGTAGAAAGTGGATTTGTTGACATCCAAACTGGGCTGCATCTCCATAGTGTTCTGCGCTTCCTAGCAACATTCTTGCCGGATGCCCGATACGTCTTCATCCCTTGTTGAAAGTAGCTCTCTTCAGAGAGCTTATTTTGTGCCCAGGGTCGCTGATGAAAGCGGAACAGATTAGTCAGTCTTAAGCGGTTCACAAGGGAAGAAATAAGGCTAGACGAGATAGCCCAAGTGGTTAGAGTGTGAATTTACTGACCGAAAGGTCCGTGGTTCGAATCCGACCTCCGCCTCTCGACTTTCCCTGTCTAGGCTTGGACAACTTGGCAGTACCCAAGCACTCGTGCTTCCTTCGGGTGACATGGCAACTAGGCACCAGAAGGGTGCTACAGGTGAACGCTTTTATCCTCACAATTTACCAAGCTGGCGTATACGTTACTGGCTTCAACGCAAAACAATCGGCCATGCTCATCATGAGATAAAAGCCTAGCAAGCAATGTGAAATCCAAAGGGCACCCGTTCAAGACTTCATTTCACCATTTTTCACCGAGAAACTGATCCAGAAATCGCATTATTTCTCATGTTGACACAGAGGAAACCTTTTCAGGTGTTGACTGGGTTGTCTCATCCACTCTAGCGGGTTTCTTGCACATTTATATTTTTGTATCCTACACAGGATCGCTTGTCCGAAGATGCATTTGAAGAATAGGCAGCTATACGGACGAAATACACTACTCATAAGGTTGCTGAGAACTCTTCGACAGCCGACGACCGGTTTCGTCCTTCTTGGGGCTCATCAGGTAGGCGCGGCCCCCGAGTTTCCATCAAACGTATGTTCTAATGAACCCGAATTGCACAGAATTAGCGAACCATCAAAAACCAGCGATTCAGCTGGGTTCCAGCTGCGTCTCCTGTCAGAACCAAACTGGTATACAAACAGTGCATTCGCTTATAAGCAGCTATCTTTCCTAGTTTTATTTAGCGCAATTCACTGCACACTTGTCGACTGGCTGGGCTGAGAATCATCCCTCATGTCAGTCCGGTCGCTGTTCTCTATCTAAGCGAATGATTGTTTCGCGGTTAGTTTTACTGTGTTGCAGGTAAACGAATAGCCGGACTCAGGAAGATAGCGCATGACTGAGAACATGAGAAGGGACCAGTTGTATCTGCGCTCAATAAGGTCCAGCTGAAAAGGAAAACTTCAGAAACGAAACCTCCCGCGACAGCTCCGGTCTGTGAAAGCGCAAATGGAGGTATCGGGTTTCGGTTGAGCGGGTAGGACGATTTGCCAACACAGATCTGATAAAAAGTGGGGGGGTAAGTTTGGACCGTTATTGGTGTCCTCACTGCTTTTCACTCCAATTACCATACTGCATCAGCGTGTCAGGAAGGCGAACTTTGCAACCACGAAGTCGTAAGTCGAAGGGAATTAGCGACACTGAACAGTCGGGCAACAGAGTTCGTCTGGCGAAAGGCCTCCAACTCTCATGCGAAGTTTAACAAGCGACCTAGGTGGCCCTTATCGAGGGGTCGTTTGTTGTTGAGCTCAGCGTAGTGAGTGTATCATTCATTATGTTGACAACTTTCCCCCTTTGTAACCCCCGCCCCACTTTTGTGTTTGTTGTTTCAGCGTAGTGAGTGCATCATTCATTATGTTGACAACTTTCCCCCTTTGTAACCCCCGCCCCACTTTTGTGTTTAGTGTGTGTATACGAACTGATGTTTGTTTGTCCTTACCACTTCACCCATTTGGCCTTGAGGTCATCCGGTCAATTGTAGCCGACTTTGCAGGTGTGACTGTCGGACGTGAGAGCCTGTTTGCTCCCTGTGGTTTGTACTTTTGTAGTCCAAGTGAACCATTTGTTTTGGCCGAGTGTCGAGGTTTTATAGTTTGTGGATTTGTCTTACACTACTGGTACCCAGTTCCGACTTTGTTTTGCCTTTCGGAGGTTCTGGTATTACGCGTCACTCGAAGATACCGTTCGTCCGTAACAGTGCGCATAGCACAACTAGTCGCCGCCAAAGTAGCAATAATGGATAGATTTTCAGCAACCTTATGAGTAGTACATTACAAATATATACATGTATCGTGATATTTCAAATATCGTAGCGACTGAAACATGAGGCGGCCTGGTGCAGCACATTCAATTGCCTGAGAACATCATAAACGAAAGATTCAGCTGGGTTTCAGGTGAGTCTCTCGAAAGAACCAAATTAGTTTGCAGATGAGTGTATATTCGCTAATAATGATGGCTGTTTACTTCGGCTCTGACCAGAAAAAATCAAACCATTCGCATTGGTTGTGTCTACTGACTATTCGCGCAGCTGATGGGCGGTGCACAGAAAGCTCTGCAAATAAAGCGACTACACAGCTTAGTCCAAAACAAAAACAAAAAATTTGGAACAGGACAGGTCTACAAAAAACGTACACATCTTAGTATCCTTGAAAGTGAATGAACTGATAGTGAGTCAGACAGAATAATGCGCCAGTGCTGATTTGTAGTTCACGAAATGTGGTCAGCAGAAGATGGTTTTCAGCAACCTTATGAGTAGTGCAGCAACTAGCAGATGGGTCGCTTTTACTTGAGTGAGTAAATGCTGGTGCATTGAAGACCATAAGAAGTGTGAACTGGCTCAACTGTCTATGAAGCAAGCAACACGCCGTGCGCTGAGAGGATCACACGTTTCCCATTGTGCGTGAACGTCATCGGACCAGCTCCGTTGTTGCATTGGTGCAATGGCTTGGTGTGCTCCGATTGCGCTTCAAACTCAGACTTCATGTGCATGGTCAACTGCCACTACGGGGGTCACTTGTGTTCACGAAAGTGTGGGATAAATCCGGTTTCTAACCTGAGTACTCAAGCCTTGGAATTTAAAAGTGTGACAATATTGCCAACGGAACTCTGAAGCAGTTGTGATGTGACGCGTTGACGGATGTTTTGGAATCGACCAGACAACAAGCGTGGGGATAATTTGTGACATATGTTCAGTTTACCTAAAGTCCTCTAAAGAATGATTCATGAGACACGTTTGGGAAGTCCACACCGCACAGTTTCGTGCTCTTAGTTATCTTGCATATTAACAGGCTAAAGATGGACTCGGAGCTTTAAGGCTATGTAGTGCTTTCAAATCCAGAAATCAACACAAGGTGTGGACTTGGATGTCCCGGTGTTAACGATGGCCTTGTTTCGACGACTGGAGCATACGAAATTAATCTTAAAGCAACAGGGATCGACAGTCGATTTTAAGGCATCAATGGGAGATCGTACTAGTCATCGACCAGGACTATCGGAATCAACTACCGAATTCAGAGAAGATCCTAGATCCAAAATGGGGATTGCTTCCCGGGCTTGGGGACAAAAAGAACTGGTTCAACAAGATTGTTGTTTTTTTCTATTTAATGAGTTCAAACTCCTGAAGGGTTGAACTTTTTTTCATCATTTTGGAGTATCAGTCGAACCTAAATTGGCCTGCCCCGGTTATTGATTTTTTACTGTCCACGAAGACAGTCTAACCTATTGATCCGTATTTCTGATTCTTTGTTTGTTCCCACAGATCGCCACAGTCCAAGGACGAAACGTCTCATCACAATTCGACCAAGGTCAGCACTGCTGTTTATCACACTGGAGAGACCGTCCTTTTTTGGTGAACATTTATCGAGAGTTTGGCCCACGCAGACCAGATGACTTCGGTAAAGCATTTATGTTCATTACGTGACGTAATTATTTGTTTCCCAATTCCTCAGGCTAATTCATTACCCTTCCGGTGACTGCTCAAGTTTCAAGACTGAACTATTCTATTTTATACAAAGTCGACTCTACCTCAAAAGTTTTTCTATAGACGATGTGTTTACGTTTATTTCTGGGCTTGTTGTTGAAAATTTGTCCAACTTTGAACTGAACAACAATTTTCCCGTTTAATTTGTCCGATAGTACACTGCTCTTCGTGTGCCATCCTGTGTTGCTAACTGCCCAGGGTTCATTCTAGCCGTAAGCCTTTCTTTAATTCTCCTCGCGATTTACTGTTACTTTGGTAGAGAAACACGGTCTACCTATCTCTACTGACTGCCCACGTCCGATTTAATATATTGTTCACTGACCAATTGCGACTACTGAACAGATGCAGCTGAAGTTCGTAGAATTCGGTTTCGCCGCCAATTATTACGACTGTCCGTTGATGAATTAGACTGCACGTTACCTCTCAGATAGATCGTGCGTTTAGGCCAATTAACCAATTCCTTGCTTTGAGATCACGGCCTTAGCACAGGATCGTACAGTTTAGTTGAAAAGTGGTAGCTGAACTAATCACAGAGTAGTTCTGTCAAAGCTTGTTTTCAGGTTGATGATCGTTTGTCTGTGTAGGAAACGGTGCCTGCAGTTTTGGTTGATTTATATGTGATCTTCGGCTCATGAGCGTTTCTTTCTGATTTCCATCCACAGAACAGACGCCTTCAGAGAATCAGTGTCCCTTGATGCTTCGGTAGCGTACATACTACACCTGTAAAGGTTGCAAGTGTCTTACAGTGCATAGCGGAGAAATCAGACAAGACAAAGTAGCAGATGAGTATTGCTCACCACAGTGTTCAACAGAGATAGTCTCGCCCAATTCGCTGCTCTGCGGCTTGTCCTGTTCATGTTGTCGTTGTTGATGGTCCAAAGGCACTGCTCCCGAGTTCGCCAAAGACAAAATAATTCTGGCCGCTTGCAGCTCCTCTTGCGTTCGTGTACTGATTGCAACTGAGTCCGTGAGGGGAGAGGACGCTGAACAAGGTAGGGATTTTGGCACGAAAATCTGTTGATCCTTAGCGACTTTGAGCGCTGATTCTTGAGAATGGTGATACGCATCAGACTCGGACTTTTGGGGTGAAGTAGGGACTGCGCGGTGTAACATGGAATGTGGAAGTAAGAACAATCAAGTAGGTTCCCCTGAAGAAACAACGTTTATTATTCATCACCCAATCAACGCATACAACATCCCCGTTATGATGGAAACTGTTCTCGATAATCGTCTCCTCTGTTCAGACATCGATCACTTAAAAAAAGTTGGGCTCCTTTCGTAGAAAGGGATGAGACTTGAAAAGAAACAGGATCATAAGAGAGAGGCGCTCATAGTCCAAGGTGAACCACACAGACCGATGTACTGTTTAGTTGTAACACCCTTTCAGTGCCTAACTGCTGTGCCGTCCAGAGAAAGCACGAGAGTTGTGATACTGTCAGGTTGTCCAAACCTAGACAGGAGCCTAGACGAGTTGCCAAAGTTGGGTTCGAACCACGGACGTTCTGGTCAGTAGTTCGAGTCACAACTATTTTGAGCTAGTGATCGTATTAGTTTGAGAGTCGCTAGCTTGGACGAGTGTAATATCCCAGTGATCCTAAGCTTGAGATATACCGATACTTCCAGCTTAGCTGGAAGTCTGCGCCATGAGCAGTACGCCAATTAATGCTTCCCCTCGGACCTGATCGCTTACAATTCCGTAGCAGTTAGATGCTGCGGTCTCCGGTGCATTCGCGTGATATTCCATAGTGTAAATTTAATCAGTATGTGCCGGAAGGAAGAAGGACACTAGCGGGTTGAAGGGTTAGAGACTGCTGCGTCCCTATTCAGAGCAATGCAGCAGCAACAAGCAACAGTACTGAATGATGTTCGAAATCCTTGTTTATACATACGTCCCACAGTTTTCCAATGGAAGCTTCGTTCTGTAAGTGGAACTAGTCTATGCAGAAGAGTCTAGAAGCACTGTGTAACTGTTTCATCCCTATTGGAAATCGTCAGCAGTGCGCAACTCGCGGAAATCCAGAGTCTCGAAACCGCGACCTCTTGGCTAGTAATTTGACACCGTTCGGCCACGAGCGGCTGATCGGCAGTGTGATTAACTCGCACTTATACAGGCCAAAGCGCCGTTAGTCCTTTAATCACGGGATCCACATCACGCGGTCACGTGTTAATCGGCTCCTCTAGTACAGACTTTTCAGATGAAGGGTACGTTCGTCGTGTAATTTATTCCTGAATTTCAGTTGCTTACAGTTCTTTGGTAAGTTTTTCCGGATCTAGTCTTCCAAGAACGAAACAAAGAAAATTATCTGGTGAAACACGCAACTCACCCGAATGTGCCGCCTAAGGTTGTCTAAATTTCCATTTGGAAGGATTAGACGTAACCACAGCTATAAGGTTACTATTAGTCGTACAAGTAATGTCCAGAAAGAACATGCATTGTTTCCAATAACAAAAGAAACAAAGAATTGTCAGCTCACATCGCTCACCTGTTTCATTTTTCGCATCACCCATTCGCTCCTGGTTGGATGCTAGAAGAGTGTTCACACTAGTCCCCAAGCTGGCCAAACACCTTTTGAGCTCGTCAGCCTTCACACTGACCGGAATACGGACTGTTCTATCGTTTGGCAATTCCAACTGCAGTATCCCAACCAGAACGGTGGTCGGTTTAAGGTCACCATTGATCTGGTTGCTTGGACTCGACTGAAGTTGTGTTGCGATCGGCGAGGCAAACGGCAGCACATTCAAATTGAGTGACTCCTACAGAATAAAGGAAACGTCGTGGACATTGAGAAACGGTCCCGTCCCGGACAACCGACTGACTAATGCGGTGTTAACTCCGATGAGGCACACTTTGTTTCGAATGTGTATTCACCCGAAAAACATTCATACAGAGTTATCAAAAGCATGAATTACAGTTGTGCTACACGGTGAATGTGCAGCTGCCCTCTAGTCGTACAGAGTCTCGGGGGACGGAGAGGGTGTCTATGGGGTATGCCGATTTATCGATGTCCAAAATACAGAATACGGTGCTTAGAGGGAAAAAAATGGCCTCAGCGAAACGGTTGGAGCATTTAGTACTGCTCACCTGGCGACATGGATTAAGAAAACACGCCTGTTCATTGACTGGGCAAACGACGGAAGGGGAGGCACAACCACCGACCCATCGCTACTCCCCCCAAAGATGCAGTGGGGATATCCACTCTATCAAATTGCCAAGCTCAGCGAACAAACCAGCGACCATGACGGAGATGCCTACTAAAAACCTAGTTGTCTAGATCGCGACGTAAACTTCGGCAGTTTTGCTCTTCTTAAAAGTGAAAAGTAACATTGTCGGTGACGTAATGCGTCGAAGATAATTTTTTTCAAGAAGAGCTAGACTACTTGATTGAAGCCTCGAGGGACAACGGACTGCCAGAAAGAAATCGATCGGATAAAAGCTGAACACTGCAAGTGCTGCGCGCAAGCCACAGGTGATGCAGCTACTGGGTGGCTGTGTCAGAGACCCAGTCACTTTTTCGCTGCCGAACTGCGTCCAACTTTTACCAGTTAAGACCAATGCAGAGAGACCACCTTATTCGCCTAACGAACTCCATGTGTCCCTTCGCTTGCTTCCGTGAAGCACGGCAGAATCACGAGGAAGCTGCTGAGGCGCGCCTCTGACTAGTAAAAGGAGTTATGAAGACGGTACACAGCTCAGTCCTACCGGAACTCGTGCGCACCGAAGACCACATTTACCGTACTGTGTCTAAGTAACCCAGGACTATCACACTGCGTATGGCAAAGGCTGTTGTGTGCAGAGACGCTGTGTACGCTACTTGGTGCTGCTAGGCTGCCCCACAACAAACACAGGTTTTACGTTCATGGTTCACGCATCACCACTCGTGCTGTCTGATAGCACATTCGGCCCGCGGTCTTCTGACCTGAGTGGAGCACACACGAACTGCAGCTGCCCGATAGGCCTTTCATTTTGATTAGTTCACCCTGACCGCTGCATATTCGTGAGAATTAACACTCACACCACCCTCGTTTGAAAAGTTTTCCACCCGTACTGCTGGAATTATTCCGGTTTGTCTAATTCCAAGATGGAAAGCGTTGGACTCATTGGACCACATAGTTTGTCGTACAGGGATTGAACCCTATCTGAGGGTGTTCCCGCTGGCAAATCCCACATCTAGAAAGTGTCAAAAAAGCTGTGCAGAAGTCTAACAAGGACCAGGAAAATCCACGCTCCATCGGAAATCGATCAAGGCCGTTACTGCAACACTGCATTGTGATCAAATGGAGATGAGCACCAAAGGATGAGACATACTATTCAGATCCTGCGGTTGAAACTGAAAGATTCATCCTAGAGCGTAATCCTGTTGTTACTACTACTACGGCGAGAGATACTGCACCATAATCTTACCTTTGCCGTTTCACCTGGTTCACCGGTACCGGGATCTAGTGGAAATACGAAACGGGAGAGCATAAAAATCGATTTTAATCAGCATTACCCCTTGAATAAAGTGACGGACACGTACGTTAACTGAGCTGAGATGCAATCGCTATCTACACGATTTTCAGGTCAGACAGTCCTGTGATTGTTCATTAGATATCTTAAAAAAAAGTTCAAAACAGTCTAACAAGAACCGGAAGATATAAGAACGAAATTCATCTAGAGGTGATTGGATATGAAGCTAAGTTATCCTCCCGAATTAGATATAACATCAAAACCCAGGTGAATAAGGTTAGACAGACATTTGTTTGACGGACGTTGTGTTGAGGACCACTAAATTAGTTCACACTACCAACACGTCTTTACCGGTACAACGGGGATACTACTGGTAAGGCATGCGAGTAGTGCCTTCGCGTAAATCCACTTCACGTCTCTTGAAAAAGTGAGAACTACTGCGGAATTTGTGGAGTCGCTTTGTAGCATTTGCTTTGGGTTGGACAACAGTCAATGAATATCCAAGAAAGTTCAGAAAGACGCGTTCGAGTGGAGGATGCATATTCAGTGTTTGTAAACAAGATGCATATGAGAGTTTTGCTCCCCTGTCCAATGGTTTATAACTGTTCAGTTGGTGTTTCTTTAATAAACAACTCCGCGGCGAAGGTCTTCATCCTTTCACCGGTAACACCACATTTAACGATGAAGTACCGGCGTCATCCGTCAGTCTATTCACACATCTAAGACTGTGACTAGATGCGTGAAGTTGTTCCTGCACCCCCTCTCTCTCTCTGTCGTATTTCGCCGATCGACCCGAAGCATATTTCAACGCGTCGTGAAACGCCAGCACATCCTGATCGCATCCCGGATACGAAACGCGTAGGTTCGACAAACCCGAATATCAAAAGGAAGATTCGGGTTCGAAATTCTGCGGTGCCATTTACAAAAGGGTAAGCAGATCTGTACGGCAAACCTCTATTGTTGGCGTTACTGCACAGGTCTGTCGCTGACCGGCACAGTGCAGTGTCAACGTCCGCACACCAAACAACGGCGAGCGAAGGAATGTTGGCTCAGTGGTGTGAGTAGCGGTCGCCTTTCCGACGACAGACTGTGCGATCATGAGAAAACAAGTCAAGAAAGGTTGAGCAAACGGAACTCGAACGCGCATGGGCAAAAGGGTCAGCGGCTCACAGTCACAAGCAGACACATGCTAATACACCATAGTAGAACGGGACGGCCCTTGCGGGAGGGTGAGTGGCGAGCACAGATAAGCAGAAAAATTGGAGGTCAAAAGTACCTAGGCGGAGTGATCAAATGAATGGAGGAATTATTACGAGGCCAAGTTAGATTTAACATAGGTGGTGTACACAAACAGACGAGGAAATCGCGCAAATGAGTGTCAGGTGATGCGAACATCAGACTAATGGTTTAGCGCCTTCCCCTGTTGGAGAACGGTTCTTGCCTGTTGAGAGCTACTGCCTCGTGTGTTGTTCTCTTCAGTGTACTTACACTGTTGTTCATCTACAAGGGTATAAGTCTTACAAAGAAACTGAAATCTGATTGTCTCATCATTCGTGCCTTCGTGTCGTTCTTGCAAGTTACAAACCACCGCACAGTTTCAAAGATATCCCGACTAAATTTCAGTTCAGATGACATCGTAGGAGGGGGGGACTTTGTACATTCGGCAAACCTAATCGGTTCCCCGTCTCACAACATCCGAGCTCCGCAAGCTGGTTCAGGTGAGTAGCCAGTCCAATCCGTCCGATAGGGTAGAACTTGTGCGACAGTGATTGGTCCATCCTAGCCACAAATTTTGCTAAGCACTCGCTAACCTGGCTGGAGGCACGCACCTGCTTTAATCAGGCACCGAACCAAACGTTTTCAGTATCAAACGGGGAAATGACAACTCAGAGGGTGCACCAGATGGCACACAAACGTGACCGCCAACAGGAAAGCGCTCCGATACACGTGAACCGGGAGATGATTGGACAGAAGCATTTAGAACAAACGGAGTTCACGAGAGACCTGCCCGCTGATGGATTTCCGAACCTTATTCCAGTCCTACCTGATGAGTCCCAAGAAGGGCGAAACGCTGTCAAAGAATTTTCAGCAACCTTATGAGTAGTGCATTACGTCTAATTCCGGTCCCTTCCCCAAACCAGTAGGCGGAGGTAAACCAAGGACAATGAGAAATCGATCAGCATTCAGAATGGTTGTCATTAGACCCTGCAGAAACCATGCATTCATTGCAAGCGAGGATGATCCTAGAGTTTGGCGAAACGGTCAGTGCAACTTGGACGGAAGAGTGTCCACAGTAAGGAAGACGTGTCGAACCGAAAAGGAAGCATCATTCGGTGAAAACTTGTAGAGCAGGTGAGAGACTGTCAATATCAGGGGAAGAGCAAAATCTGGATCGATGAGATCTGTCTCAGTTTGGTTCGCAGTCGACGATAAGTGACAGAATCCGAACTAAAACCGCATATATTCATTGACGGACGATAGCTCACGACCGGTTTCGCTCCTCTTGGGGCTCATCAGGTAGGCGCAGTCCCCGAGTTTCCATCAAATTTACGTTCTATGCAGCACATTTATTTGCTTGGAAACAGCACAAACGAGAGATTAAGCTGGGTTCCAGATAAGTCTCTCGAAAGACCAGATTAGTCTGCAAATGTGTGCATTTAGCTGATTTCGTGCAATTTGGTTTCAAGTAGAAAATAAGGTTGACGAAAATTCGGGGACTGTACCCACCTGATGAGCCCCAAGAAGGGCGAAATCGGCCGTGGGCTGTCAACGAATTTTAGCACTAGTTTATCCTTATTCGAGATGGCAATAAGCTGCGAACAAACTCTTGACCTTCCAGATTTTGCCACGAGTGAATATCAAGCGGTGTCGTTGGATAGAGAGTCAGCCGTCCTCCTATTACGTGACCCGAGGACCACTCAAATATAAGCTTTCCAAGGCATGTCACGTGTCAGCAGCGGTAAGGAAGACTCGGTAGGAAGGAAGACCATAAAGCGGCCTGCGATACTGACTTTTCAACCCAGGTTGCTCCAGCACAACTCAGAGGTTCGGCCATACTGGAAAGTGCATTCACCTGGATAATCGGTCAGCTGCCCACTAGCTAAAACCTCGTTAGCGTAGGCAATCTCCATTGATGAAATACTGGAGACGGCAATCCTCTAGATTGTTCATGTTGTTCTAGAAAGACCATCCAGAGAACGGGCCATCGCTCAAAAGAGAGCAACGTAAGTTGGCTCCTTGAAACGCCAAGTCACTCTCAATACTTTCTGAGAAAAGATCGCAGGAGATCATGACCACCGACTCACCGAATGGTTCTACCTATCCATCCATCTTCTGATCAGACACTTATGTTTGCCATGTTCGGTTTTTCGTTTTGTGGTGATCTACTGGCAAACGGGCCGTTCTTTCTTGTGAGCGCAGGACACAAGGATGGGTTCATTTAGATGGCCTCTCTTCTTGAGGACTACTCTTGGTCCTACCTACATCTGTTCCTTTCGCACGTTCGCATCTGTGTCCACTTTTTAGTACCAACAATGATTGCATACGGTTTCGCTTCCCCTATGGTTCAGGCAACTGGTAAAGCAGAGTGTCCAAGTTACCGGGTTTTGTTCCAATTGTTCCACCAAGGGCAGGGAATAAATTGGAGATTGCGTAATGCAAAAGTATGAAGCTTCTCAGTTCATACAGTGTCACAAGAGTTCTTATTCTTTATGAGACTATAGACACACTTTCGGTGGGTCAGAACAAGACGCACACACATACAAAACGCAGGCGGTTTGAGTATTCGCCACCAGCGAATGAACTACTGAATAACTTTTAGAGTAACCATATAACGAAAAGTTATGACCAGACATGACTGGAGAAGTAAAGACTTACCCGAGACTTGGCAGACCAGCTGTGCGGGTTGCGTCCAGTCCAATTTTCTCTTTTTGATTGGCCTAAAGGGGTGGAGAACAAAAGGCTTTTAGTGATCACGTGACCCGAGACAGCGCATACCTGATATGAAGAAACAGATGGCTTGTGTACAGTTCTACTGAATGTTTGCACCATCTCATCAGCTGACTGCGGTCAGTCCTGACAGCAATATGGTTTAACCTGAGCTATCATGGATCCCACTCTAGTTGTTTCAAGAAGTCCTCTGCTTTCTTGACCACCGACTCCGTGATAACTTTCGGGAAGCAATGCAGCTGACAAGGAACCATCCCTTCTGCTTCCTGATTCTTCGAGTATCAACCAGTTCAACCGGCAGTATGACGCAATCGCGCGCTCCTTCAGCGAAGGCCAAAGAGTATTGGTCCGTGACTACAGTGGCAGGCATCCCAAGTGGATTCCAGGACACATCATTCGCTGGCGCGGCAAAGTGATGCACGAGATTCAAGTTGGCCCAGCCAAATGGATCCGGCAGACGAACAAAATCCAGTCAACGAATGTGCAGGTCCTGCCCACTGAACCGAGTGATTTGAGTCTAGAGGTGCTTCTGGACACTTTTTATCTCGGCACCATTGTGGAAGACTCATTAACTGCTCCGCGAAGGTCCAGCAAGAGCACGCATTACGAACGCGACGATGGCAAGACAGGATCTGCAAGCCAGTGAGGCCACTGACTTCAAAACTACATCGACAAACTTCAAGGGGAAGGTGTTAGGCGAAATTCCGCACTGGTGATGCTTTACCACTCACAGTTTGGCGCTGTTACGAACAAGAAGCTTACTCCGCAGGAACTTGGCCAAAAGATCGAGTCACTTGCCAGTCCAGCATCAAGACGAGCTCTGGCTGGTCGAAACTCTGGACCCAACAGCCAATCATGATAGAGTATCTGCCGAATGCTGGTTGCCAATGCAGCGTCTTGAAGAAGTCAGAATCTCCGGAACGTTGTCGCCGCATACACCTGGGAAACGACGTGCTGGTTTTTGGCGCTAATACACGTTGTCCACCATTGGTGGTTGATTTGATAGGAATGCTAGCTTAGGAGGTTCAGGCCGAGAACAATGCTGAGAAAGTACCGTTACTAGAATATCCGACGGAACATTCTGCGTAATCAACTCGTGTGGTGTTGTGAAGTGATGAAATCTCCCCCTTGCAGACACATTGTTGTTAGCACCCATCTAAAAATTGCACATTCGGATAGGTTAGACTCCCAGAAACAACAGCGTATAACGCGTGCAACTATCGTTTCACCAATGAATCGACAACCTCAAAAGAGGAAGGGCCTTGTGTACCCAATAGGTCCCATGCCGCGTCATTTTAGTTCTTTGTCATTTGTACTTGAAAGTCGTAGAGCAATATCACGTCATCTAGTCCCGTCTGGTTGCTCGAGTGGTAATTTTCCGGGGAATATGTTATCTACTTATATTTTTGTAAGTAACTAGGTTTTGAATGTTCTACATCAAGAGGACATGACATAGGGACCTCGGAATCCCTTGGGTTATGAAAGGTTGCTACATAACTCAGGCTGTCCGGTCAAATTTACGAATCAAGGTGGCAGCCTGACAATTAACTATTCACTCAGGAACTGTACTAAACTAGAACGGGAAATTTTTCTCCCAAAGAGCGATACACAAACTCACACGAATCGGGATGGTTTCGCTCTGTCCCCTGCGCCAGGTCCAGTCACGCGAGCTTGAACCACACGATGGGAGCGGCATTTCTGATGTTTCATCAAATTCCACTTCGTGGTGAATCGGATGTTGCACGTAAAACAGGGGTAGGGGCGTTCGTTGCTGTGCTCCAGCAGATGTGTCTTCAGTTGAGTAGGCCGGTCAAAATGACTACCGCATATTTTGCATCGGTGGTTGCCATCTAAATAACGAGACACAAAGGTGAAGAGAGACAATAGCATTGTTCTGACAGCCTGAACGGAGTAGCTACTGAATTCTATCAGAAAGCGATAGGTGATGGTTAACTGCATCGTCATCAGTACTGAAACCAGAGTGTCAAGGATGACTGACTTAAAACGAAGACGTTCCCTGAATGATTTAAACTGCAATCCGGGCTACTAAATATAAAGCAGTAGTTGAAGTTGTGTGGGGTAAAAACCGCAACCGGGAAAACCAAGGAAGGAACCAACTAGCAAAAAGGCCGGCTGTAACCGAACAGGCCTGATTATTCGCTCCGACAAATTTGAAAGGCCATTATGATACCTTACCAGGAAGTCCTGACAGGTGGATGATTGACTACCTTTCAGACGGTGCTCCCCACGCCAGCGCGAGTACTTGATGGTTCACGTGTATCTGGCGTACACGGCTTGAGTGACGATAAACACACAGCTCCCGTGTCTAGTGAATGTCCTTTGAGCCTCAATACAGTGAGGTGGTATGCCTTAACAAGAACGAAACCTACTCCATGGGAATGACGGGAGGTATATGGATAGAATTCAAGACATCCTATAACTACACATACACCTAAGGCCCCCAATTGATTCCAAAACCTGCACCGTTCGGTGTGACATTAGCCATCCCCACCTAGATAAGAAAATGGAACTGAATAAAGGAGCAAAACGCCTTGGGAGAAAAGGAGAAGGACGCAGGTGTAAGACAAACTTTTACTAACTCCTAGTTACAGATGGGTGTAGAACAAAGAACCGCTTAAATGTTGCACTTGGTGGCCACTGGCTCCATCGCTGAGTGGCCAATAAAGCTAGATAAAGGTCTCAGGTAGCGTCTACATCGCCTCCCGAATCACACGATGTGTACGTGAAAATTGTATTGCAGGCCAGTGGCGAGTTCGCCCCTTGATATCCTGGTAATCACACGTGACATCAACAGTTGGTGGTCTCCCAATCGTCCTCGGTTCGCATGTCAATTTGTGGTTCTACAAACGGTCTGCAACCGATTTCGTGGCTATCTCCTGCAGATGTTCCTAAATCCACTATCTCCAAGGGCCTTGTCTGCTAATGTACGTTGTGGAAATTCTACTGGATACCGGATGGTCCTTGGTTCAAACCCAGCCCCGGCGTCTCGACTGCTTCTGTCTAGGCTTGGACGACCCGGCAGTATCCTAGCTCTCGTGCTTTCTTCGGGTGGCCACCCAAAAGGGATTTTACCAATGAACGATTATTGTTGTCGTTATCTTCCATCCTTGAGCCTCAGGACTATAAAGTATACAGGGTTTCATCGTTGGTCCGAGTGCTGACGTTGGCGATTCTCTCCGGCATACCATAATACCTTCGCACTCAATTTACTACTGTCCCGGTACTGTTTTGGCGCGTACGCGCTCACGGTAACGAGTGCAGAAAAAACGATTTTGAAAAAATGAGAAAAGACTCGGGAAGGCAGAAACTTTGTTGGAAATTGAACTGGTGTCTCCTGGAGGTCAAGATGAGACCAATGAAACCCATCACAGTACAACCGAAGACACCCGAAGGCAAAACTACGAATATCAGTTCACCGCCAGAGCAGAGAATGAGGGTAACGAACACGCACGCAACAGAATGAGTCTAAACTCAACCGCGATCCACGTATCCACAGCCTAAACAAGTCCGGCCCTTGGCCCCCAGCTGTCCATCTTCGTCTGTCAAGTTACCAATACCCGGTGTTTAGTTATCCAGCTGTTCGACGTTTGCATTATCACCTGGAGTCAAAGTCTTGGCCATGCGAAAAATATTATTACACATAAGTCGTATTCTGTGCACTTTTTACTCATACCGATTCGATATCATTCAGCTGTAGCACCTTATCAGTGTCTAGCTGCCATGCCACCCGAAAGAAGCACGTGGGCTGGGATATTGCCAGGTTACCCAAATCTAGACAGGGGAAGTCTAGAGGAACGGAGAGGAAACGGACTGACGCGCTTGATCGTTCATGTTATCGATCGGTGACGTTTACATGACCCCTGGCAAGCATTCTGAGTAATTCACATACTCCTGTTGCGCATCATAGATGTCTGGTTTAGTCACTTCGGCCTAATTCGGTAGCTTTCTTGTGGGATGTGACATTCACAAGTGAAGTTCTCAACAAGTATGAAGTTATGGTCAAAACGTTGATTGGCTGTTCACCATTCCTGTCAGTAGGCATCAAGGGTTACTCCCTCACTCCTCAGTCTTCACGATATTTCGTGCACATCGGCTTTCTACCGCATTGTACGTCAATTCACCTCTGCTCCATTACCGAAATACCAATGAGCAACTCCTGGTGCACGTCAACCAGCCAAGATAGCGCAAACAATTATCGTGATATGCGTCTTTTGGTTCAAAAAAAGCTAGTATGCACCGATATGCCGTATCACTTTGACAATGGGGTTATGGAAGTATAGGTACTTGACAATACTTACAAGATGACAGCACACTCAGTCGGAGATTAGTATAAACCAGAAATTCGGTTAATTCTCCCGTTGAGGCCAAACTAGTTTGCAAAGGGTTGCGTACATTTTTGGCTGCGAGGGGAACATCAAGTTTATGAAAACTCGAGAAATTCGCTTGTCTGGTGAGTCCAAAGAACAGCGGAACCAGTCGTGAGTGGTCGAAGCGGTTTTGGTAACCTCATATCAAGAAAAGTATCAGGAAGGCCAGATTGCTGAAAGCAACCAATGAATGCCCGAAATCTACTGAGACCCCCAGCTCCGCTAGATGCTGACCAGACAAACAACCCCCATCAATATGCAGCGCTTCACAGCCTTGTATCGAACCCACACAGCACGAGTCAGCGTTGAGCAAGGTCAGGCAACGCCCCAGCAATATGCAGCACGTTGCAGCCTCATACCAAAGCCAGACTGCATGCGTCAGCGCCGGACCAAGTTCATACAGTGTCCCTCCAATAAATAGCGGGAGGCCGTTGTAGTTTCGCACTCGCTTTTCAGAATATAGCTGTTGTTTTTCCCTTCTGTGAGTCGTTTTTCCGGCACTAGGCACTGGAGTGGGTCAGCAGCAGATACCACAGGTCGGCGAATCAGCAGACATAGAAAAAGATACTGCGATATCTCAATATATCATACCGACTAAAACATGAGGCAGACTTTGTGCAGCCGTATCTCGCTAACACTGACCTAATACGTATTCACCGATTCTCCGTGTAACGACCTGCAGCCAACAAAGTTCCACGTAAATTTCAGGATGCTTTCCAAACACTAATCACATTCAACGTCTGTCTCACGCCTATGGCAACGTGTATCTTAGACATGCTCGCTTTTGTCGTTCGTCATTTCATTCAGACGCAGTTTGTCATCAAACAACATCCGAAAGCCTTTGCCACCGTTTTCATATCCACCAGAAAACGCCTGTGATTGTGATGAGTCACCGGGCTGATCTGAAATCACGGCTGCTGATATTTGGCATCACTACAGTGAATTGAAGACAAACACTCGTCATGTAGGTCTACTGAACATGCGTTGAGCACATCCAATCGATAGATGATAAAAAAATCAATAGACGCAGCAACGCCTTTGGTATCATGTAAAAGGTTTGCCGAGTTTCCTATGCGGGACCGAACGTATTCGACTTGTTTGCAAACGAATGGCGATTTACATTCCAATACTGACTACTGACTGAATGTGAAAAAGTAGTCATTTCATTCCTAGTGGGAAACATCATCAGTGCACGATACAAATCTCAGAGGGTAGCGGTTACATACGGTGCTAAGTAACCTTTGACTGAGCAGTACAGTGATACCTCAAGGTATACCTGAATACAAAGTAAATGCGGGCGAAAACCTCAACTTTTTTTCACAAAAGGTAACTTTGAAATATCACTTAGGACAATCCTTGTCCAGAATGGGTCCTAATCTGAGGTTGATCAGAGTTTGCACACGGAGAATGCCCATGGAATGAGAACAATGAATGGGGAGCTTGTATAAATTATAACTAGGTAGAGTATCCTATGCTATCGCTCAGCTGTAACACCTTTCCGGTGCCTAGCTGCCATGCCACCCGAAGGAAGCACGAGGGCTGGGATACTTCCAGGTTGCCCAAGCCTAGGCAGAGGAATTCGAGAGGCAGAAGTCACGGACCTTCCAGTCAGTAAATTCGAGCTCCAACCACTTGAGCCATCTCGCCCCGTATCCCATGCTAATGTTTAGTCGAACAGCCCTATTGGCAAGAACGATAAGCGGATGGTTGATAAAGACCAGGTTTTTGCGAGCTAAGATGACTGAGCTGGAAAAAAGAATATCAAAAGAAAACAAACGAAATTTAAACGCACCGGAGGGTTTAATCGCAATCAGTCTGTTGGTAGGGTAGCTATAGAGATCGACCGGTCCCGAAGATGTATCTGCATTTGGACGTGTCGATTCGGTGGAGCTTTTTCGGCTCCGATGGGTGACTCTGGGTGCAGCTGATTGCCTTCTTTGTTTGCCAGCTCTTCGACCAGAGGAACTCTGGCGCGCGGCTCTTCTTGAAGGTGATATGGGATGGGGTATTGAGAGTTCCACTTTTGTACTGTCGGATGGCTTAGCCTGTCTTCCAGCTGGATTTGATCTACGAAGCCCCTGGTGTGAATACCTCATGGCCAAAGGTGTGTTTAATATGTGCTTGAGCCTTCACTGAAATTTGGAAAGGACTCTGTAAACAAAGTGACACTGTCAGGAAATATTCGAAATTTAAATGTTTGAATACCACTCACCTTAAGTACTAATAATGTGACCTATATTTATGGGCTACTATGTGTGCTGGTCACGTGGTACCGACATGAAAATCAGTTAAAAGCCAGGTCGTCATCCCTAACAAGATAGCTCCTTCGAAAGGTAACTCAGCTGGACTCTAAATACCCATGCGGAGACGGCACAACTTACGTTCGACCCACATGGATGGCCTGATAAGCGAAAGAAATTTCCGGGTTTGAAATTCGGCCCAATATTTAATCACAACAGGTTGTTAAACAAGGGTGGAAATGAAACTCACAAAGCAAATTCACCAGTGACACAGAATCAGGGGGAACCATGTGATGTGCAGACTGATAACCAGTATGTCACGTGACTCATTCGTCTATATCCCTCGGACTGGCCAGAAGGACAGTGGAACGCTTGTTGAGATTCTGTAGAGGGGAACACTGCTGGACTCTGCAGACAGCGACCCGGTCTTACCCACTTTATCATTCATTTTGAACTACTCACTGGTGTTAGTAGCATATTGCCGATACGAATAAAGGGGAGAAGCCCAGCACAGGCTTGTCTTCAGTACGACCATTAGTTCAGAAGATCAATAAAAAGCTGCCATGTTCTGCCGTACCAAAAATATTAGCACTTCTGTTCGGTGCGCCCTTGCGCCTGCAGATCTCAATGGCTAAGGAAACAACTTTGCGTACACTGCACAACTAACGCAGAAAGTAATTTCAAGGAGTGTTTTCGAAAACGGCTCAGCGAACTGAGCGCTCCTCACCCGGTGTAAACCGGATTGACGTCAAAGCACATTGCGTGGTACTCGTCTAGTCAGCCGTGAACAATGATGACTATTCAGTCAATCATCGGTTGTCGTATCACGCCGCCTTGGTTGCACGCCCAACGAACCATTTTCTTCTGAAACGGATTTCAACCAAAACTTGCTTCAAGGCTTGGTTCAGGGTGCAAGCTGTGAGCTGGTCCTCCAGAATCCTGCTCATTAAATGAAAACCCAAGAGATCAATAGGAAGTGGTAAATTCCAGGAAGGGTATTTCTAACAGGAGTTTAGACCATTATTCCAAGCGGACAACCGACATTGTTAAATATTTCTCAAAAAGTTCGAGAGATGGAGTTGACAGTTTCGAGTTTTTTGTTCCAAATTATATTTCTAGGGGCATTTAGGTGCCTTGATGTTGTCTGAACTGGAGTGGTAAGTTCACATACACTCGCGGACACAAATCGTGTCCTGTTTGATCGACCAAGTGGAGCGTCACTAATTTACTCGCAAAGGATGTATGCGGGACGGGAAGTCAGTGATGCGTACAAAGAAGTTAGCTGAATATTTTCATATGGATTTGAACCGATAATCAGTACGTACTTACTCAATTTCACCTACGCAATGAAGGTTGCCTACGTTCCGTCATTTTGGACAGCATGCTCACTTGAAGCGCGGTCGTTTGGGTGTACTAAAGCTTCAGTTGCATACCGGTCCACTTCATGCCATCGATCACTGAGTGTATCAGGAAGGTCAGATTCCTGGAAGCAACCACTGAATATCCGAAATCTACTGAGACCTCAGCCCCGCTAAATACTGACCACATAAACAACGCCCCTCATTATGCAGAGCATCACAGTCTTGTACAAAACCAGACAGCGCGAGTCAGCGTNTCCTGAATGCCCGAAATCTGCCGAGACTCTCAGCTCCGCCAGATCTTGACCAGACAGACAACACCGCTTCAGCATGCAGCGCGTCACAGCCCTGTACAAAACTCAGACAGCGCGAGTCAGCGTTGATCAAGGTCAGAAAATGCCCCCGCAATATGCAGCGCGTCACAGCCTCGTACCAAAGCCAGACCGCGTGCGTCAGCATTGGACCAAGTTCAGACAGTGCCCCTCCAATAAGTAGCTTGAGACCGTTGTATTTTCGCACTTGCACGCTCTCGTACTCGCAGCACAAACGAAAGATTCATTCGAATTGCATCTAGATATCCCAATTTGTACCGACCTGCATACGAACGTTGGTGAATTTTTGCACAATCTATATGCGAATTGTCGAAGCTTGGCAACAAATACACTTTCCAATACTTCAGGCAATGTGCGAAGGCCGTCAACACATCCGTGATGGATGAACTCCTTCCTTACAAACTCTGTCTATGGATATCAGACAAAAAACGTAATTTCGCTCAACTCAAATAAAAACTAACCGGATCGCACTCACTTACGCATTCTTGTCAAACGGATAATAGGTTAGGAATACAAAACCCCGCAATCGTTGTAAATATGATACCCGCCCAAGTGGTGGTCAAACACCCTGGTCGAAATGCACACATAACGGACCAAGAGTGATGAACTCATCTTTTCACGAAAACGATCCAATCCACCATACGACCTAGACGCCGTGCGACCTTCCGTATTCAAAACCAAGATATAATTGCTGAACATGTGATCCCGACGGAGTCGCAAATCGGTAGCAAAACGGTCGTAGAAAGTTTGCGTGTCCCTCAGATGAACATGCAAAAGTGCGCTGACAATCTCCTAACAGTGGCATCTTTTTCCGACCCCTTCAAGTATAACACCTTTTCGGTGCATAGCTGCCAGCTCCATCGATTGAAGAACGATGGCTGGTTCCTCAGGCCGAGACAGGAGCAGACGAGATGCGAGAGTTTTGTTTCGAAACACGAACCTTTGTGTGAGTAAGCTCCTTCCCGAAAACTTGAGCTATCTGGGGACTCTGTTGGTCCAACGCGGTTTCACCTGGCAGTTGTAAGCGGCTGAGAGGTTAATCTTCCAACTAGTCACAACCAAAACATATGAATAGTTCGCACCAGTCTCGGGAAGCGCATGGCATTAAGGAGGGATGTTAGATTTTGGACATTACCCCTCAATTTCTGAGTGGTTATCGACTCATTATTGTAAGTTTTTTCGCTCGCTAAAATCATTTTCTCCGGTAGGGGTGGTGCATGTTTAGAGGTCGCTTATCGAGAAGCTGGTGTTGGATTTTTGACGTCGAGGGAACCCCATTTGGGTGCTGATCCACACATGAGACAAACCGACACAAATGTGCAGCACACCACACTCTCAACCACCTGAAGATTTGTTCTTGTGAATAGGCTCCTCCTGGAGTTTGTGTGTTCTCCTTTCGATAGTAATATAGTAACATTCCAAGATGGTCAAGAGGTCAGAATGCCAGTTGGTTCAAGTCTATCCCTGATTTTTCGATTGGTCCTGTCCGGAACAATCTGTCATTGTCTCATCTTCCGCGCATGACTGCATTGTACAGCAATCACGCTCTAGGAATGTCACTCCGAAAAGGGCCCACAACAGCGCTCCCTATCAGCAACGACCTGGTGTCGATCCTGCTGAGGAGCGACGAGTCTTGAGGGGTTAGTGCACAAGTAATGGACAAGATGATTGGGACTCAGATTGTTAAACGATGATGAATCAGCGGAAAATAATCCATCGAGTGTCGAGCATAGACTGATTCGGACTTAAGCGATGAAATACGTGTTCCATTTAACAAGGCAGAACAGATCAAACAGAATCTGTTGAGAGTGTGAATTCGGATTAGCAATGCTAAGTTCGTCGAATAGTTTTCGGAAGAAACAACCCGCCCAAGGTAGATGAAGTGATCACTCTCTACAGTTTGCGCTGGCTTGGCAATGTGCTCCGTATGCCAGTCGACCGCCCTCCTAGAAGGGCTCTTTTCTCACAACCACGTGAAGGGTGGAAGAGAGAACCAGAGAGTGTCGAGATAGACTGATTCGGACTTAAGCGATGAAATACGTGTTCCATTTAACAAGGCAGAACAGATCAAACAGAATCTGTTGAGAGTGTGAATTCGGATTAGCAATGCTAAGTTCGTCGAATAGTTTTCGGAAGAAACAACCCGCCCAAGGTAGATGAAGTGATCACTCTCTACAGTTTGCGCTGGCTTGGCAACGTGCTCCGTATGCCAGTCGACCGACTTACTTGTAGGGTTCTTTGCGCACAACCACGTGGAGGTTGAAAACGGGCCAGGGGAGGTCAAACAATGACTTGACAGCGAAGCATAAAAGCCATTACTAGCAAACTCAGCTGCGCTGGTCACTGCAGTCTTCCTGGATGGGGCCCCGAGACGAGCCATATCAACGGTTAGAGACATTGTCAGAGATGGCCCAGTCGCGCCCTCAATGGCGTTCGTGCATCCAAGCTATTGCCTTCAATGCATAGCTCCTTTTCCAACCCCCTCACTTGACAGCCCACTGACACTGTTGGATTTATGAACCAATTTATCAGCTCCCGCCTGCAATGAGCAGCTACCTACCCCCCAGATCATCGGTGAACGAAACTGTGGCAGCTACAACCACTGCACGACAAGAACGCGGTTCTTACAGTTAATAAAGATGATGATGTGAAGTCGGGTGGATAGTGAATAAGCAGTTGGTCGCGAAAAACCTATGCCAAAGAGACTGAAAACAGCCGTATAGCTGGATAGATTACTTATATTTCGAAAGTAACGCTGTTGAAACACTATATTTGATCTGCTAGAAGGCTAAAGAGCACCGTAAATTCATTCCCCGCTTGCAAGCGGTCATTTGCAGTGCATAACTGGCTGATTACTACAGAGGATCTCCATCCGAATCGATCCCGCTCTACAAGAAATCTCCATCACACTTTTAAAGGAACATTTTCACCACTCCGTACTTTTGCGACGTGAACCACCCCCAACCCCCCCCCCCCCCCCTCGCGGCGCACCCCCTCTACCCAACC